TGGGGGATGGAAATGGGGTCTCTGTTGTTGTGGGGGATGGAATTGGGGTCTGTGCTGTCCTGGGGGATGGAATTGGGGTCTGTGCTGTCCTGGGGGATGAGGGTGGGGGTCTCTGCTGTTCTTGAGGCTCTCCAGAGCACAGGGGGTGACACTGAAGGGTCTGGGGGATGCTCCAGAGGCCCAAACTCCACAGGGTTTGGCCGTGGGGTCTGTGCTCTCCCCACGAGAGCAGGGCTCTGCCTTTCCAACAGCGGGGGGTGGATTTTCCACCACTTAATGAATGCTTTGTCTGGAGTCTCTTCTGTCTTCACTTTGAGCTAGGATTAAAAATACGTGAAGGAAACGGATTTTCTCGTGTTCAGGTTTGGTTGTTTATTAAATTGGATTTAAAAGTACAGAAAGTTCTGTAACAATTGTAGCTGCCAGCTAGAAGCGACTAAAATGGAGCCAGATCTAGTTAGCTACAAGGGTTTTTAAAAGCTAAACGGTCTAATAGAGAAATAACACCTATGTTATGGATCTTTTTAACCTAATAATTAACTTCTTATGACTCTTAGTGTGTCTAACTAGAAACTACTGCCATGAAGGAGGAGGAAGATGAGCACCCAAAGAGACCCCACCCCAAATCCTCCATCTTATCCCATACCTGTTACTATATTATAAAAACCTCAAATTAAAAACTCTTCATCATGTGCAATCACACACTTCTATTTAACTACACACCCGTGATTTTAACTTCATCACTAAATTTTGGAAGCCTTCTCCAAGGCCTCAGGTGAAAAGCAGTGTTCTCCAGGGGGTCAGTGCCAGAAAGCACAGAAAGCTCAAAATTCAAGACCACAGCCCAAATTAAAACTAATAAAAACGCAGCCAAAAAAACCACGCATGCTCTTAAAAAGCAGACTCAAAAAATAGCCAGCTAAAACAGTTCCTAAAATATATAAAAAAAAGTTTTCCTAGAAAAGTTTAAAAATGTGTAATAGGTCTATAAATACGCAAAATTTTTAAAATGTCTCCAAAACAAATAAATGCCAAGCACCGGGGCGGTACCGAGGCGGTTCCGGGGCGGTCCCGGGGCTGTTTCGGGGGCGGTACCGGGGCGGTCCCAGGGCAGTCCCCGGGCGGTACCGAGGCGGTTCCGGGGCGGTACCGGGGCTGTTCTGGGGCGGTACCGGGGCTGTTTCGGGGGCGGTACCGGGGCGGTCCCAGGGCAGTTCCGGGGCGGTTCCGGGGCGGTACCGGGGCGGTACCGGGGCGGTGTTGGGGTTGTTCCGGGGCGGTCCCAGGGCAGTCCCCGGGCGGTTCCGGGGCGGTTCCGGGGGCGGTACCGGGGCGGTTCCGGGGTTGTTCCGGGGCGGTGCCGTGGTCGGGGCCGGTCTCGCCATGGCCGCCGGTGCGGGGCTGGCGCTGCTGACCGCGCTGCTGGCGGCGGCCGGGGCCGAGCGGGACCGGAAGGTGAGCGGGGCCCGGGGGAACCGGGACCGGGGGAACCGGACTGGGGGTACCGGGGCCGGGGGTACCGAACTGGGGGGACCGAGCTGGGGGAACCGGGACCGGGGGTACCGAGCTGGGGGCACCGGACCGGGGATACCGAGCTGGGAGTACCGGGGGTCGGGGATACCGGGCTAGGGGTACCGGGACCGGGGGTACCGAGCTGGGGGTACCGGGCTGGGGGTACCGGGACCGGGGGTACCGGGCTGGGGGTACCGGGTCTGGGGGTACCGAGCTGGGGGTACCGGACCGGGGGTAGTGGTACCGAGGATACCAGGACCGAGGGTACCGGACCGGGGGTACCGGACCGGGGGTACCGGGCCGGGTGCGGAGCCCCCGCCGCGCTCCGGTGCTGCCTGAGCCCCTCCCGCTCCTCCTGGGAATCTCTTATCCCGGGACAGCCGGGTGGGAGCTGGGATCACCCAGTGCTGGTGACACGGGGACATCCTGTGGGTTTGGGATGTCCCCAGAGCGGGACACTCCGTGCTCCCTCCTCTCCTTGAAGGGAAACTTTTGTTTATTTTGTGGCCTCGGAGGATTTTGTCTGGAGCAGGGGCTGGGCTGGACCCCCCAAGATCAAATCCTTGTGGGGTTTGGGGAGGAAAAAGGGCTCGTACCGGGCACACCGCACGTGGGGCTGGAGCTGAACCCAGCCCTCCCTCTGTCCTGGCACACAGGGACCGGGCTGACCCCTGCCCTGCCACCCCCTGCCTGCGGTGACAGGTCCCAGGGCCACCCAGCTCTGTCCCTCATCTCCCCTTTGTCCTAATCCAGTGGGACCAGCATGGCTGTGGGATGGGATGGGG